GGGGGAATTGGGGCTGGGGTCAGTGAGGGGATGGGGTCAGTGAGGGGAGCGATTTGGGGCTGGGGCTAGTGCAGGGATTTGGGGCTGGGGTCAGGATAGATTTGGGGTCAGGGATGGATTTGGGGCTGGGGTCAGGATAGATTTGGGGTCAGGGATGGATTTGGGGCTGGGGTCAGGATAGATTTGGGGTCAGGGATGGATTTGGGGCTGGGGTCAGGATGGATTTGGGGTCAGGGATGGATTTGGGGCTGGGGTCAGGATGGATTTGGGGTCAGGAATGGATTTGAGGTGCTGGGGGTCGATGTAGGATCGGTTTGGGGGTTTTGGGATGGGATGTCAGGAATGTTGGGATTTGGGTTCTGGGGGTGCCCCCCAAAAAGGAGCTGCACAGGGGAAAAGGGAGGTCTGGGACTCTGGAATTTTGGGATTTGAGTTTTGGGGTCCAGGAGTTTGGGATTCTGGAATTTTGGGGTGGGGGAGATCCCATGGAGAGAGGAGGGAGAGGAAGGAAAACGGGAAACTGCGGGGTGGAAGTGAGTTTGGGGGGGAAAAGTGGATTTGTGCAGGAGAAAAGGGGATTTTGGGGGTGGGAAAAGGGAATTTGAGAGGAGGGAAAGTGGGATTTGTGAAGGGAAAAGTGGGATTTGTGAGAGGAAAGTGGGATTTGTGAGGAGAAAAGTGAGAGTTGTGAGGGGGAAAATGGGATTTGTGAGGGGAAAAATGGGATTTGTGAGGGGAAGAGTGGGATTTGTGAGGGGAAGAGTGGGATTTGTGAGGGGAAAAGTGGGATTCGTGAGGGGGAAAGTGGGATTTGTGAGGGGAAAAATGGGATTTGTGAGGGGAAGAGTGGGATTTGTGAGGGGAAGAGTGGGATTTGTGAGGGGAAAAGTGGGATTTGTGAGGGGAAGAGTGGGATTTGTGAGGGAAAAAAGGGGATTTGTGAGGGGAAAAGTGGGATTCGTGAGGGGGAAAGTGGGATTTGTGAGGGAAAAAAGGGGATTTGTGAGGGGAAAAGTGGGATTTGTGAGGGGGAAAGTGGGATTTGTGAAGGAAAAAAGGGGATTTGTGAGGGGAAAAGTGGGATTTGTGAGGGGAAGAGTGGGATTCGTGAGGGGGAAAGTGGGATTTGTGAGAGGAAAAGTGGGATTTGTGAGGGGAAAAGTGGGATTTGTGAGGGGAAGAGTGGGATTCGTGAGGGGGAAAGTGGGATTTGTGAGAGGAAAAGTGGGATTTGTGAGGGGAAAAGTGGGATTTGTGAAGGAAAAAGTGGGATTTGTGAAGGAAAAAGTGGGATTTGTGAAGGAAAAAGTGGGATTTGTGAAGGAAAAAGTGGGATTCGTGAGGGGGAAAAAGTGGGATTCGTGAGGGGGGAAAAGGGATTTGTGAGAGGAAAAGCGGGATTTGTGAGAGGAAAAGCGGGATTTGTGAAGGAAAAAGTGGGATTCGTGAGGGGGAAAAAGGGATTTGTGAGAGGAAAAGTGTGATTTTGGGGGACGGGGCTGTAAAAACCCCTTGGAATGAGAGGAAGGGGATCTCCATGGAAAAGCGGGAATCCGGGGCAGGAGCAGGATCGGGGAGGGACAAGCGACAACTTTTGGCGGGAAGCTGGAAAAATCCCGGGAATCCGGGCTTGGAGAGCTCCTTAGGACAGGAATTCAGGAATTGGGGGCGGAGCTGGATCGGGAATGCGCCGGGAAGCAGCGGGAGCTGTTTGGGGGAATCCTGCTGGAAATCTGGGAATCCCAGCGGGGATTTGTGTGTCTGGGAAAGCTTTTCCCAGGAAAAAAGAGGATTTGGAGTTAGGAATGGCTTGGGGTTGTGCCGGGAATTTTGGGTGGGAAACTCCTGGAATGTGGATGGGGGATGCCAGGGGTGGGTTTGGAAGTGGCTCCTATAAAACTGAGGGGTCCCAGGGGTGAAAAAGTGGGAATTTGGCGGGATAATTGCAGGTTTTGCTGTGGAAGAGGCTGGAAATGTGGGGAAAATTAGGGATAAATCCCAAAATTCCTCTGGAAATTGAGAGGGGAGGGTCGGGCTCGGGATGCTGGAGTCCATGGAATTCAGCTGGGGCTGCTCCAGCCCCCAGGAAATGCCTGAAAAAACTGGGAATGGGCTTGGAATGCAGCCCCTCCATCCTTCGGGAATTCATTGTGGGAATCTGGGAAAAACGGACCCCAAAATGCTCAGAATCCAGAGTTTTCCTGGCTCTGAATCCAGAGTTTTTCCAGCTCTGAATCTAGGATTTCCTGGCTGTGAATCCAGGGATTTCCAGGCCCTGAATCCAAGACTTTCTCAGCCCTGAATCCAGGGATTTTCCAGCTCTGAATCCAAGACTTTTCCCAGCCCTGAATCCAAGACTTTTCCCGGCCCTGAATCCAGGGATTTCCCAACCACCACTGTTGGGATTTTCTGGAATTTTTGCTTCCCTGAGCAGCTCTGGCAGCTGCTCTGGAATCCCAGAACGATCCCGGAGATTTCGGGATCCAGGAACGCGCCCTGGATTTCACTGGGATAAACAGCCAAGGGAATTGGAGTTCATAGAAACCCCTGGAATTCCCAAAAATCCCACTTTTCCCACAGAATTCCCATCCCAGGCAGCGCAGGGAGAGAAAACCAGGAAAACCCCAACATCCCTGAGGATTTCCCATCCCAAACAAAGCAGGGAGAGAAAAATTCCCACTTCCCCAAGGGGAGCTCAGAAAAACCTTGGGAACAAAACCAAAACCTGGGGCATCTTTTAGCTGAAAAAATTCCCGTGAAATCGCTGAAATTACACCAAAAAAAATCCCAATTTTTGCTCGGGGGGAGTTCCCAGGCGGAATTCTCGGGTTGATCCCGGGGTTTTTTTTTAATTCCCGGTTTTTTTTCCCGGCGCAGCAGCCCGGGCAAGCGGAGAAGCTGGCCGGCACAATGGGAAAAAAGCAGAACAAGAAAAAGGTGGAAGAGGTGCTGGAGGAGGAGGAGGAGGAGTACGTGGTGGAGAAGGTTCTGGACCGGCGCGTGGTCAAGGGCAAGGTGGAATATCTGCTCAAGTGGAAGGGATTCTCCGAGTGAGTCCCGCCCGGATCCGCGCCTTTCCCGGGAAAACCGCGGGGGAAAAGAGGGAAATCTCGGGGTGTGAGAGGGATTCCTGGCTGCTGGGAAATCCTGGGAAATCCTGGGGTGACCGAGGGAGGTTCTGCTGGGTCTAAGGAATTCGCATCCCGAGCGGGGAGGGAGAGAAAATGCTGGAGAATCCTGGTGTGCCCAAGGAATTCCAGGGTGGCATGGGCAGGAAATCCTGGAAGGTTGTGGTGTTCCCAAGGATTTGCCATCCCTAGCAGGGAGGGAGACAAAATCCAGGGATTTCCCAGCCCTGAATCCATGGATTTCCCAGCCCTGAATCCATGGATTTCCCAGCCCTGAATCCAGGGATTTCCCAGCCACCACTGTTGGGATTTTCCGGAGTTTTTGCTTCCCTGAGCAGCTCTGGCAGCTGCTCTGGAATCCCAGAACGACCCCGGAGATTTCGGGATCCGGGAACGCGCCCCCGGGAATCCTCCCTCCCCTCCAGGATCCCAAATCCGGGCTCTTCCCGCAAAAAACCAGAGTGGGAAAAAGCAGGGATTTGTCGTTTCCCGGCAGCGAGGACAACACCTGGGAGCCCGAGGAGAACCTGGACTGCCCGGATCTGATCGCGGAATTCCTGCAATCCCAGAAAACCGCCCACGAGAGCGAGAAATCCGAGGGCAGCAAGCGCAAGGCCGAGTCGGACACGGAGGACAAAGGGGAGGAGAGCAAGCCAAAGAAAAAGAAGGAAGAGGTGAGGATGGATCCGGGAAAAAGGATTCCAAGGGGGAAAAAATATCCCTGGGAAAGGGGTTGGGTTTTTTTGGGGCGTTCCAAGGGGTTTTTGTGGAGGGTTGGGAAGGAGGAGGGAGGGAAAAGCGGGAAAATCGCGGGGTTGCCAAGGAATTCCAGCAGGGCAGGGAGGGAAAAGTGGGAAAATCCAGTGTTTCCAAGGATTTCCCATCCCAGGGAAAATCCTGGTGTTTCCAAGGATTTCCCATCCCAGGGAAAATCCTGGTGTTCCCAAGGATTTCCTATCCCAGGGAAAATCCCAGTGTTCCCAAGGATTTCCTATCCCAGGAAAATCCCAGTGTTCCCAAGGAACTCCAAGAGGGCAGGGAGAGAAAATCCTGGGTGGGAAAATCCTGGTGTTCCCAAGGAATTTCAGCGGAGCAGGGAAAGAATATCCTGGAAAATGCCAGTCTGTTCCCAGTCCATTCCCAGTCCATTCCAGGTCCATTCCCAGCGGAACCAATTCCCTGTCTCCTGTCCCTCCATCCCTTTCCCACTTTCTCCCTGGCTCCTTCCCTTCCCCAGCTGAACCTTCCCAGCCCCGGGATCATTCCCACATCCCTGCAATTCCATCCTGCTCCTCCCTGGAGGAGAGGAACGGCGCTCCGGGAATTCACCCCTGGAATTTCCCCCCTTTTCCCAGTCGGAGAAACCGCGAGGCTTCGCCCGAGGCTTCGAGCCGGAGCGAATCATCGGAGCCACGGATTCCAGCGGGGAGCTGATGTTCCTGATGAAGTGGTGAGGCCCTGGGGGGGGCTGGCAGCTCTTCCCTCATTCCCAGGAGCATTCCCAGGATCATTCCATTGCATCGTTCCCTTGGATCGTTCCATGGGATCCGTGGGATCGGGGATTGGGTGGGATCAGGGCTCTGGGGCTGCTCCAGGGAGGGGATGGAGAGGATGGAGCGTGGCCAGGGAAGGGTTTGGAGCTCCTGGAGAGGCTGAGGGAGCTGGGAATGCTGATCCTGGAGAAAAGAGGGATGAGGGGGAACTTTCTGGATCTGCACAAGGGACAGAGAAGGGTTTGGAGCAGCTGAGGGAGCTGGGAAAGTTGATCCTGGAGAAAAGAGGGATCAGGAGGAACCTTCTGAGGTTCCCACCAGGAGGGGACATCAGGCTCTGATCCCAGGGAATGGTCAGGGATCATTGGGTTTAGGGTCAGGGATCCCTGGAACATCCAGAATTCCTCAGGAATTCCATTCTCCTGCTCCCTGATCCCTCCTTTTCCCTCTCCCCGATTCCTTCTCCTCCCCCCGCAGGAAGAACTCGGACGAGACCGACCAGGTGCCGGCCAAGGATCAGGGTCAGGGTCAGGATTAGGGATCAGGGTTTGGGTTTGGGTTCCCTGGAACATCCAGAACCCCTCAGGAATTCCATTCTCATCCCCCATTCCTCCCTCTCCTTTCCCCACAGGAAGAACTCGGACAAGACCAACCTGGTGCCGGCCAAGGATCAGGGTCAGGATCAGGGTTAGGGATCAGGGTTTGGGTTTAGGGTCAGTGTCAGGGATCCCTGGAACATCCCGAACCCCTCAGGAATTCCATTCTCCCGCTCCCTGATCCCTCCTTTTCCCTCTCCCCGCAGGAAGAACTCGGACGAGGCCGACCTGGTGCCGGCCAAGGAGGCCAACATCAAGTGTCCGCAGGTGGTGATCTCGTTCTACGAGGAGCGCCTGACGTGGCACTCGTACCCCTCGGAGGACGATGACAAGAAGGAGGACAAGAACTAATCCCGGCGGCCTTCCGGGTGTTGGTTTTTTTTTTTTTGGGAAGACGATCCGAACTTTTTTGTGGGGTTGTGAGCAAAGGAGGGGGTTTGGAGGTGCCCTTGGAAGAGCCCCCCCAGCCCCAGCCCGGTTTCTGTGCTCCTCTGCTCCCTGCCGTGTCCAGATTCCAAGCAGAATCCCATGGAATTCCCGATTCCCAGCAGAATCCCATGGAATTCCCGATTCCCAGCAGAACCCCGTGGAATTGCAGATTCCATCGGGGAGAGAATGGGGGGGGGGGGGG